CGCGGAGCAGGGGCGCCCGGGAGCCGCGCCGCCGTCGCGGCCCCGCGAGTCGCCCGGAGCCGGTGGGCGCGGCGCAGGGAGGGCCTGCGCGCCGAGGGCGCGGGGCTGGCGCGGGGCACGTGCGAAGCGACTGCCCCTCGTCCACTTAGTCGAAGGTTGTTTTTATCCTGGTCTACAGCCTTCAGATGCATGAAGCCCGCCGGGCTTGCTCTGAAGGATACGGCACCAAAGGAAGATGGCAGAGGAGGGAAGAGGAGAACTGCCCGCCTGTCTCCCACGACATGCAGCAATTCCCCCCATCCCTGCCGGCCTCTCGCGTTAGGCGGTGCTTTCTTCGGCCATCCTGGGCCCAGCCAGTCCCTCAGCACCTCCTTCCCCTGGGCAGGTTTGAATGATCTCAACCTGGAGATGTGATGGAGAGCTTCTGCTGCCGGGTCTCCTGGCCCAGCCTTCCCCAAGCAGGTGCCCTCAGCACCATTCCTGCCCACTGGCCACACTGGGCCAGATTGTGCAAGGCCCTGCTGCCCCTGAGGAAGATAAGGAGGGGGCTGAAGCCGGCGCTTCACATGGAAGGAGTTTTGCTTGCACCGTTTGGTGATGCAGCAAAGCCGACTCACACATTGGTCTGCCTGCAGCTGCAGCCGCCTGCGCGCCATCTTGGCCCGTATTTACAAAACTGTTTTGGCCTGCAGATCGTCCCCAAAAGCTCTCGGGTCCAATTCAACGGGCGTGTTGTGGGCTGCAGCTGGCTCCACACTGCCCTGGCAGGGATGGGAAGCAACTCGGCGGCTCCGATCGCAATGCCTGGGCCTCTGCCCTGGGCTTATTCTTGGCCCAAAACCAGGTAGATGAGTTGCTCTTAATCTAAGAAACCCTCAAAAAGTACCCAGGACAGGGCCCTCCGTCCTGGCACGAGCACACAGAGGCGTGTGCCCGGGCATCTCTTCTGGCATCCACAAGGCTCCCGGCCCCTGCTGGGCTTTATTTAGTTCGTTAGGCTTTTAAAGTTGTTGCGTTTTAGTTGGGATGCAATCCTGCTGAATGCGAAGTGCACCCCGCCGTCCTGATCACCTTCAGGACAAGCGGCTTGGCTTGCAATTGCCACAGTTTGGCTGCCGGGCACGGGGTGCCCTGCGAGCGGTTGCGCCCACCGTGGCAGCCATTTTGCGAGAGCACCCCTGAGAGTCCAACTTCCAAGTGTGCCCACAGCCTGCCCAAAGTTGGGGCCCATCGGCCAGGATTGGGGACCAAAGTGCCTTCGCTCGGGCCCGCTGGGGGTCCCCCTTTTGGTGCGGGGGCGATGGGCCTCTTTGCTGGGCTCGGGGAACGCTTCTGGAGGGCTGGGGGAGTCTCAGGCGCTCGAGGAGGAATCCGATCGCCGCTGCCCAGAACGGGCCCCGAACTCAGCCTTCCGCCCCGATTCCCCCCGCACACGCGCTGACTTGAGGAGGGCCGTGAGCGGAAGGGATCCCGGGAGGGGCCGGCGGCACTCGTGACACCTTGCAGGAAGCGAGGGCTCTGATTGGCCGGGCAGCCGCAAAGCCGCTGACATCACGTCAGAGCCCGGGAAGGCCGCCCGGGGCTTTCACGCCCGGAAGCCTCGCGGAGCAGCAGGGGCTGATCCGGCTCTGGGGCCGGAGCAGCCCGAGGCAAAGCGCCCGGAGAGGAAGGGCGCCTGCCCCGTTCCCCCCACAGCTCTCCGGAAAGGGGGAGCCAGGGGGCCGGGGCCGGGGCCGGGCCCAGGCGGCGCTGCTGGCGGGGTTTTGCAGGGGAAGCGAGGCACAGCCCGCTGCGGCTGCTGGCGAGGCCGGCGGCGCTCAGGTCCGGCCCAGCGCCTTGCTCCCGTGGCAGTCGCGGGGTCGCTGTCCGTGAGCCACCGGGGCGGCGTTTCGGGGGCAAAGGCGCCTGCCAGCGGGAGTCTGAGCAGCGCAAGTGACTGGCGCCCGTGGGGAGGGCCGGGCTGGGAGGAGCGCTGCACTGCCCGCAAGCGCCCGGTCCCAGCGGCGACCCGGGCCGGCCTCCCGCCCTGCGCCACCGCGGCTCGGCAGCCCACGGCCAGCCGGCCGTGCGAGCCGCTGCCCTCCAGAGGCGCCCGCATGCGGGGCCCGTCGCTGCCGCCAGCGGGCACCTCACCTCCGCGTGGAAAGCAGCCTCCGGGTCCTCGAGGAGCGGCTGGACGTGGCGCCGGGGCAGCCCGTGCGGCTCGGCTCGGGGGAGGCATGCGGTGGGCTTGTGCCGCTTCCTTCGGCGTAGGCTCCCGGCTGCCGCTTGGCCCTGCGCGAAAGCGGCGGTGGTGCCATGCCCTCTCCCAGGGGGGTGCCCTGCGCTGCAGCGGTGGCCCAGGCCCGTCTGGGAGGGGCTCCCGGCCCACCCAGGCGCACGCCTTGGCCCCCCGGGCTGACCCCCGCCCTCCCTGTGGTCGCTGCAGGGAGCAGCCGGAGCCTGAGCACGGGGTACTGCCGGCTGTGCCACGGGAAGTTTTCCTCGCGGAGCCTGCGGAACGCTTTCGGGAAGGTCCCCGTGATGGGGGAGAGCTCGGAGAAGCAGCGGCGCCTGGACCAAGTCTTCTTCACGGACTTCCAGCGGCTGGTGGGGGTGGCCGTCCGGCAGGACCCGGCCCTCCCCCCGTTCGTCTGCAAGAAGTGCCACGCGCAGTTCTACAAGTGCCGCAGCACCCTCAGGGCCTTCATCCAGAAGGTGAACGTCTCGCCCGCCGGCCACCTCAAGGCGCGAGGAAAGTAGGTGGAGCGGCATTCCTCGTTCGCGGGGCTGGGCTGGGTGGCCGGAGGCCCACGGCAGCCACGCCTCGGTGGCGCGTGGCAGTTGCCTCTTCCGAGCCTGAAGGATCGGCTTGTCCCCTCTTGGGGGTCGATCTGCCACAACTGATTTGGCATGCGAGCCAGTGAAGCACACTGTGGACTAGTAACTTGCGTGAGCTTCTTGGCAAGGCCAAACGCCCAAGGAAAGCTGCCTTCCACCGAGGCAGGTGGCAATTTGCAGCTGCTCCTCCTAGAGGACAGCCTGCCTTCTCCGGGAGGCATCTGATCTGTGCTGCCCTCTGTTTGTGCACAGGAACCATGTGGTCCAGCCTCACCTGCCTGGCCCAGAAGGAGACGCTCCCTGCCTGGGTAAGCGGAGCGATTCGGCCGCTGCTGAATGCTGCTCCCCGGGCTGCCAAGGGCTGCTGCATTGCTGCCACAGAGGCGCCCCCCCCCGTGCCTGCCCCCATGGCTGTGAGGGGGCTTTGCCCCCGGGCCATTGGAGATCCGTGAGAGCGTGGCATGCCGGTACCAGCTCCCGTTTTTCATGTTCTTGTGCTGTTCTTTTTATTGTTTTTAAGTTTGTTTTCAGTGTTTATGCAGCACTTGCGGTGGCTTTTTTGCCGAATGAGGTACCTAGATCATAGGAAGAAACAAGCAGCTCCTTGGGAAGGCCATTTTCTGGCCCTGGGCAGCCCCAGAGGCTGTTCCAGAAATTTTCCAGGAGGTCCAGATGTTGTTACCTACTTGAAACGCTCCCGTGTTTTCTTCCCGCTTGTGTTTTTCTGTGGAAGTCTGTTGAGAACTGTGGGCGCTGCTGAGGAAGCCTCACACCGGGGCCTCTGCCTCGGAAGCGCCCTGGGGCTTCGTCCCGAAGCCACGCCGGCTCAGAGAAAGGCCTGCGCCGCCCGGCAGCCATTTGCAGGCAGACCCGCCCGGCTGCCCCGCTTGGCGTGGGGGGCGGACCCTCGTGCGCGGGGACGGACCCTGCCCGCTAATTACGCCCGCGACGAGGCGGGGGGGCTCTCTGAGCCGCCTGACCGCCCCTCCCGCTCTCCTCCCCGCGAACAGCAGACCTGATCACGTCCAGCCCGCAGTGCATCCGGAACCTGGTGCTGTGGACCCACCACCACGCCGAGCGCTGCCAGGTGGCGCCGCACCTGCAGAGCGTCCTGTCCTCCCAGTACTGCGGGATCATCCGCGCCGTGTGGGGCTGTGCCGAGGGCCACGACTACGTCATGAGCACCGACTCGGACTGCAGCGCCGTGCTGGCGGACGGCAGCCCCGCCGTCAAGTGGGAGCCGAGCGCCCAGCACGCGACGGGCAACGGGGTAGACGCCGCCGGCCCGAGGGCTGCCGGGGCCGTGCCGGAGCCCCCGCACGGCACGGCTAGGACGGCGGCTGGCCAGCAGCCGGCAAGCGGCGGGGTGGCTTTGCCTCCCTTCGGCACAGAAACCCAGGAGGCAGAGCGCCAGGAGGCGCCCACGGTGCAGGAAGCCTCCGGAGCGCCTTTGCAGGACGAAAGCCAGGCGCAGCCCGTCTGCCCCCTCAATGGGAGCCCCGGTAAGTGAGCTTGCAGGGCGGGGGGCCAGCCGGGGCTCCTGGGGCAGGTTTGGCCTTCAGGCCTTCCCCGGACAGCCGTTCCCCTCTCCTGCAGCCTGGCTCGCGTGCAGACCAGTTCCGATCTTGCGGCAGAAGGGGGCGGGCGGCCCTTCTTGCGTGTGACCCCAGAGCTGCGTGCCGGCCTCCCCGTTCTGTGGCCCAGGTGTCCTCGCCGCTGCTTTTAATTTCTGCTCCGCCAACGGAGTTCCCTGTGCGTTTCCTCAACCCAAACGCCCGGTCCTCCTCTGGGGGAAGCCGGCACTTGCCCGGGGCAGCTGCCACCCACGCAGCTGTCCTGGGCACGAGGGGCCTGTGGTGCAGGGGGCGTCGCTCTCCAGGGCCGTGCCCCCCCCCATAATGCTTGCTGTTCCTCGCTTTCCTAGGACCCCCGAGCGAGACGCCAGCTCTGTCGGCAGCATCGGATGAGCGGGTAAAAGACGAGTTCAGTGACCTTTCTGAGGGGTGAGAGAAGAGTGGGTTTGCCATGTTGTTTTTGCGAGCATGACACTGACGGCAGGGATCTCGAGCCAGGCAGGGGCCGGCGTCCCGGGGGCCCCTTTGGGGAAGGGGCGGTGGGAGCTGCAGCCTGCGCTTTGGAGAGCACTGGTCTGGGAAGCGGCGGCAGGCCTGGCTGTGTCTTAGGGTGAGAAGCCGCATCTGCCCATTTCACACCCTGCAAACGACTCGAAATCGTTCAGGGATGGATTCGTTGCCGTTTGCACCGAGTCAGGTGGATAAAGGGCGGCTGGACTGGGGGCAGAGACGGACTTGTTGCTGTGGCAGTTAATCCAAACGGCATGACTTGGAGGTCGGGTCTCAAAACCTTGGACAGGCAACAGCATCGTGTCCTAAAACCCGCCTTGGCTCGGATGAGAGCAAGGATCCTGGTTTTGGTGTGTCCACCTTTAAAAACCCGAGAATGTCGCCTTCCAGTTGGTCGGCTGAGGAGCCAGGTGCCTGGGCAAGAGGCCGTTTCCTGGCACATGTTTGATGTCGTGGCGCCCCCCCCCCACAACTTGCTTTGGGCACCCTCTTTTACAGAAAGGGAGCGCGATGTCTCCCGAATTCAGGACAGCGGATCAAGGAGGAAACAGACTCGCTCTCCTTGGCCTGAACTGTCTGCTGAATTCCACCCCACGTGCCCCCAGTCCAAGCGCCAAGCGAAGCGTCTTTTGCCCTTCCATTTAGTAAAGAACCTGTTTCCTTTCTCAGTGATGACAACAAGCAAACGCTGTCTTCAGACGATTCCTTTGAGCCCTACCCAGAGAAGAGGTGGGGCCCTTCCCTTCCCTTCCCTGGGGGGGCAGCACAAGGCAGGGCTGGAGGAGGGAGCACCGTCTGCAGCCCCCGCAGAGCTCTGCACGCCTTCCCCGCTCCTTCCACTTCTGGCTTTGTCGGGGGCGACCTGTTTCCCCTTTCGCTAAGTTTTGCCATGCGTGTGACCCGCTCGGCTGAGGCAGCGGCCACTGTGTTCCTTCCCCACCAGGGTTCCCAACAGCAGGAGAGCGAAAAGCAAAGAAGCAAAGTTGAAAGAGCCCAAAATAAGGAAGAAGCCGGGACCTAAACCTGGCTGGAAAAAAAAGATCAAGTGTGAAAGGTAACATACGCAGCGCTCCAGAGGGTCAGATCCCCGGAGGACGGCGGGTCTCCTCACGGCTGGCCTGTTTTCCGGTTTTTCCAGGGAAGAACTGCCAACCATCTACAAGTGTCCTTACCAGGGCTGCACGGCTGTGTACAGAGGCCCGGAGGGCATGAAGGTACGTGCGGTGCAGCGGGCCGACTGGCCCCCGTCCCGCTGCCCAAGCACTGGCCCCTCGGAGCGGCTGTGTCTTCAGGGCCAGGCCTCCTCCGTCACAAAACCAGCTCCGCGCACGGAGTATTAACGACGCCACGTTTCCTTCTAACAACGAGGTCGTGGCCGTTGACCATTTGCCACAGAGCAACAAAATAATAACCTGACCCACTGCCGTCTTCTCACGGGCTGGTGGCCTCATTTTGCGAGGGCGGCCCTGCGGAGCAAAGCAGCCGGGCGAGCGATCGGGCCCATGTGCGGTTCCGCGGCAGGGCCGGCAAAGAGGCTGGCGCTCCCCCGCCCCGAGGGGGCTCCCCACACTGGTTGCGTCATGCTCCCCGTTTCCCCCCGGCTGTAGAAGCACATCAAGGAGCACCACAAGGAGGTGCGCGAGCGGCCCTGCCCGCACCCGGGCTGCAACAAGGTCTTCATGATCGACCGGTACCTGCAGCGCCACGTCAAGCTGATTCACACCGGTAGGTTGCGGGAGGGCGGGGGGCGTGCTGCCGCAAAGGGCGGCCTTGCGCCCGCGTAGGGATGAGGATGAGGACGAGGGCGCTGGAGGCAGCGGGGGCGCGGTTATTCACCAGGCTGAGTGCGGGAACCACCAAGGCGGAGGGGGAGTGCGGGGCCACTGGCTTCTTCCCCGCACCAGACCAGCCTAGAGCTGGAGCAGCGAGCAGTTTCCGCAAGAGCTCGGCGGCTTTTCCTTTTCCAAGAATCTGTTTTCTTCTTCGTTCCCTCTTCCACAGCGCCTTGAACATTGTCCGTGCGGTGGGTGGTGCCCGTTGGGAGGGGAAGGTCAGCAGGTCCTTCCGCAGAGGGAGGGCGGCCTGCCCCAGAGCACTCTCTGGAAGAGGCTGGGAGAGGATTCCTCTTCTGGCCCCCCACCCCAAATCCTCTTCAAAGGCTTGTCTTCGGGGGGGGGGGGCGGTTCAGGCCCCCGTGTCTGCTTCTCTGCAGCGTGTAGCGTTCAAGCATGTGATGATGTTGCTCTTGGTGGCGGTTTTACCTGCCATTAGGCAGTCGGGGGTTCTTTTCAAACCCCTCCTGCGTACGTCGGATGGCTCCTTTCCTTGGAGAGTGTGAGCTCGACGGGACTCTGGCCGCAACCCCAGAGGGACTGGAGGAACGCCAAAAATAGGGACGGGGAATCGGCAGCAGAAAGGCCCCCTCTCCCACGCCCGTGCATGCCAGAAGCGGGAAGGGTTCCGGCGACTTCTGACCCGGCTCTCCTCCTGCAGAGGTACGGAACTACATCTGCGACGAGTGCGGCCAGACGTTCAAGCAGGGCAAGCACCTCTCCGTGCACAAGATGCGCCACTCGGGAGCAAAGCCCCTCCAGTAGGTGCACTGCCTTCTTGCCCG